ATGCCACGGGGTTATGATGTGGGTTCACAGAGCTAGTGGGGGTCAGTGCCCACACTGGCTCACACCGTAAGTGCCACAGAGGAGGAACTGAATTAAAGGGACTTCTGTTATTAGCGTTACCTGCCCCAGCTTCCCCACACCGTGGCAGCGCCCCCAGGCCAGCAAGGACTGCTCCCCTCTGAAGAAACAGGCCAGGCCAGCTCAGGGGAGTCACAAGGGAGGAGGAGGCTGTGCCGCTTGCGAATGAGGAAACTGGGAGGGAACAACCTCGCTACAGAGGTAGGAAAGGGTCCGTGAACTTACCTGACATGAATCCTTTCCTGCACCTTTATAGCCACAGAGCATTCCTTCCAGTACGACATCCCTAGTTGTTTTCATGGCTTTCTGAATCATCTCATTACATTTTTCATGGTGGATGATGCCTTGGTCGACCTCATGGAGAACAGAGGTAATAAGGTCGCCACCTACAAGTAAAGAAACTCAGCAGTGGGTGGTTGTGCGCAGGTGGACAGTAAGCCCCTAAGCACCTAGAACCCCCTTTGAGAAAGGCAGGGCGGTGGGTATCGTCCCCATTAGACTCTGGAGGAAACTGAGGCCCAAAGTTGACACGGGGATTAAAAGGAGGTAAGAACTAAAACCAAGACAGGATAAAGAAGAACCGATCTGGACAGGAAGAGGCAAGGCCTTACCAGCCTGAGAAATGATCATCAGGCATCTGTTACCCTGAGTATCAGTGGTAATCGTGACAGGTATTCCGTGCATCAGTAACTTATCTTTACTTTTGAGCAGGATCACAGACTCTCGAATGTGCCCCAGGGTTACCAGTCCAGACTCTTCCCAGAGATGGGGGCCCTACAGCCTCAGCAACAGTGACCTTCTGGCTCTGCCTGTACTCAAAAGGACAGGAAGCTCCCTAACCACCAAGATACTTTCAGAGAGGGACAGCTCTGGCTGGCAAACCACTCCTCACCTGCTGAGCAGAAAGCCACCCTGAATAGAATTCCATAGCATCTGGCTCGGTCCCCAGGGAACCTAAAAAAAAAAAAAAAAAAAAAAAACAACCCAAGCCAGCTAGGCATGGTCCCTCACGAATCTCCATAAAGAGATTTCACCCCTGTATTTCTTCTCCTGAGAGCAGCTCCAGTTCCCGGGACCGGTGCCTTTCCTAAATGGCTACCATGAAATATTTGTGTTGCAACAAAAGTCCTCAATCAGTGTCCTCAAGCCAATCAGGAACCATCACCCTGGCTGCTGCTAAACCGCTGTCCCCTCGCCCCTCTGCCAGGCCGTCTGCTTCCCTGTCCCTCTCTTTAGCCTGTTTGCCTAATGCAGGGCTAAAGCTGTCTCCCTCTTCCTGGGCCGGCTTCCTGCCTCACAGTCTCACCATATTCTTCTTTTCTGCCCCAACCGGTCACCCAGCACGTGGTCCCAGCTTCCACCCGGAAAGTCTTCTGAGGGATGCATATAGGCTGGATGGTCATGGTGAAGTTTACAGGGTAGAGGAGCTGGAGAAGGGCAAGGTCCTTTTGAATGGTTCCAACTACTGACAGCTGAGGGTGGACAATGATGTCTCGGACGGGGACCACCACACTTGTGATTTCTTTATAGACACTCCGATCTCCCATCTTGACATTGTAGTGGAAACGGCTGTGGGAGAGAAGAAGATGTGCCCCCTCAGAGAGACCCCAGGAAGCATCCCGTGTGCCTTTTCCACACATGGCAGATGTTTCCCAATATGGTCCCAACCTCCCTCACCACTCTCTCCACTGGCCCAACACCAGGAATCCCTCCTTACCGACTCTCAAAACTGGTCTGCTCATCCAAACGATTGGTTTTGTTCTCGGAATTAGTATTCCTGGTAACCACACGCCCAGCGCAGACCCCACCCATTTTCAGTGGGTGTGCTTTGGCTGGGTTGGGTTGGGCTTGGGTTCTGCCAACTCGCCAGGGCAACAGAACCTACTAGGTATTTGAGGAGAGCAGGACTGGCTTCAAAACTCTCAAGTCTCAGGGTGCCTGGGTGGGTCAGTCTGTTGAGCATCCGATTCTTGATTTCAGCTCAGGTCTTGATCCTAAGGGGGGTGGGACTGTCCCCCCCCCCCCCCCCCCCCCCCCCCCCCCCCAATGCCCAGGGTTCTGTGCTGAGCGTTGAGTCTGCTTGGGATTCTCTCCACCTCCCCCCAACTGCCCCTCTCCCCCCTAGTGCACTCTCTTTCTAAAATAAAATTAAAAAAAAACCCAAAACCTCTCAAGTCTCCACTTGTCACTCCTCACCTTAAAATACAGTGGCCTGCAGTCAGTACCCACTGCTGTGTGATGAGGGAACCTCCGCACACGTGCTTGCCTCTGATCCTCACGCTCACCTGCCAGGGCCACTTCCCATCTTCAGCCTCCTGTCCTCCCAAGATTTTCGCATTTACCTGGCCACACCCTGGGGTGAGAACAGCGCAGGGGGAAGAACCTCAGAGAAAAAGGCCCTGCTCCCCAGGCTTCCCAGGAGAGGCCCAGGTGCCCCTTGGACACGTGAGAAGGCCACGGCCTCCTTGACTCCAGGACGGTGTTATGACGTCCCCAGGCCACGTACCCGCGAGGCCGAGTGGCATCCCGCTCAGACTCCACAAGCGGTGCTGCATTCCTCAGACCACTCCCCGCCCCCCGGGGGGGGGGGGGGGGGGGGGGGGGGGGCGGGGCGGGGAGGTGGAGGGACCCTGGCTCCCCCACACTCCCCGAGAGCACTGGTTCCCACTCTGGTGCCTCAGCCACCTGCCCAGGGCCCCCAACGCCAAGTGTCACCTGGGATCAATCCCACCAACTGGGAGACTGGGGCAGATTCTTGGGGCTCGGGGGGCGTAGACGGTCCCGCAACCCTCCACACGGTGGCATCGGGGTCCTCGTGGCCGCCTCCCAAGGGCGAAGGGGAGAGTGGGGATGGCGCCAACCTGCCCCGCGCCCCACCGAGCTGCGGCTGGAGGAGCAGGAGCCAGAGTAGGAGGCCCGGGGAGCCGCCAGTGGGGGACGCCATGAGCCGGCTGGTACAGCGCCCCCTCGTGACTCTCCTCGCGGAGGCAGGTGAATGGGTCTGCGCATGCGCGCGAGCGACGGCCCTAGAGGCTCCCGGATTGGGGGCCCCACTGGCGTGCCAAACGTCGCGCACTGGGTTCCACCGGGGCCCTCTCTCCACTCCGTGACCTGCCTTTCAGAGCGCAAGTTAAAGCCTACTGTAGCTGGAGGAAGAGAACATAAAACAACTTCTACCCCTAAAGAAGGAGCCAGATCAGACTCTCTCGCCTATGCTGGGAGAGAGTCAAGATCACTGAGAAGGCCTCATCTCTGAGAGCCAAGAATATAGCACCTGCCAGACGGTGAGGCGCTGAGCCAGAAAAACAAAGAATGTCCCACCTCCTCCCTCCCCTACTAGGCTAGCAAGTGTCCAGGAACAAGTAACCGCAGTTTACTGCTAAAGGAGGGGTAAAAGTGTGGAGAGACGCCCTCTTTGTCACATAAGCACAGAGAAGACTGTCCCGAGTGTGGAACAGACACCGAGAAACAATCCAACAAATCAACCACCACTCTAAGCAAAAAATAACAGAAGAATTTCAAGCCTGGTACACATGGAGGGTAACCATACAACAAAACTGGGCATGACTGTCTCAATACTCTCTACTAAAGAAAAGACGTGACCATTTCTTTTTTTGCTTTTTAATATTTTTATTTATCTTTGAAGGAGAGAGACAGACAGAGCATGAGCGGGGGAGGAGCAAAGAGAGAAGGAGACACAGAATCCGAAGCAGGCTGCAGGGTCTGACCTGTCAGCACAGGCCCGATGCGGGTCTCGAACTCATGAACCCTGAGATCATGACCTGAGATGAAGCCAGTCACTTAACCGACCGAGCCACCCAGGTGCCCCAAGACATGACCATTTCTGAGCACAGTGTTTACTTAAGTCTCTGTTCGCCTACACAAAATGACTAGTTTTAACAAAAAATGATGAGACACTCAATGAAAAGAAAATTAACAACATGGTGTCAAGAGACAAAGCAACCAACAGAACTAGATGCAGATATGACATGAGGTTTGGAACGATCACACAGGGAATCTTAAATACTCTGATGAACATACTTGAAGACTCTAGTTCAGAGGTCAATAAATGTTTTCTATAAAGAGCCAGAGAGCAAATATTTTAGGATTTTGAGATACAACTGAGGATATTATGTAGGCTTTTATATAAAAAGAAGACAATTTTTCCATAAAAATGTAGTAATAATCGGGGCACCCGGGTGGCTCTCAGTCGGTTGAGTGTCTGACTTCGGCTCAGGTCATGATCTCACAGTTCATGGGCTCAGGTCATGATCTCACAGTTCATGAGTTCAAGCCTCATGTCAGGCTCTGTGCTGACAGCTCAGGGCCTGGATCCTGCTTCGGATTCTGTGTCTCCCTCTCTCTCTGCTCCTCCCCTGCTCACACTCTGTCTCTCTCTCAAAAATAAATAAAGATTTAAAAAAATTTTTTTAATTAAAAAAATATGTAGTAATAATAGTAATTGGGTATAATATTTTATCATACAAATCTACCAGTGAGAAGAATGGGATTATTTGGGGGGAGAATAACAATTTACCTAACTGGGTATAAAATTAGTGTTCTCCAAAAATAAACTCAAAATGGATGAAAGACCTAAATGTGAGACAGGAAACCATCAAAACCCTAGAGGAGAAAGAAGGCAACAACTTCTTTGAGTTCAGCCACAGCAATTTCTTATTTGACACATCTCCAAAGGCAACAGAATTAAAAGCAAAAATGAACTATTGAGACCTCATTAAGATAAAAAGCTTCTGCACTGCAAAGGAAACAATCAACAAAACTAAAAGGCAACCAATGGAATGGGAAAAGATATTTGCAAATGACATATCAGATAAAGGGCTAGTATCCAAAATCCACAAAGAACTTAGCAAACTCAACACCCAAGAAACAAATAATCCAGTGAAGAAATGGGCAGAAGACATGAATAGACACTTTTCCAAAGAAGACATCCAGATGGCCAAGAGACCCATGAAAAGATGTTCAACGTCACTCTTCATCCGGGGAATACAAATCAAAGCCACATTGAGATACCACCTCACACGGATCAAAGTGGCTAAAATGAACAAATTAGGAAACTACAGAGCCTGGCAAGGATATAGAGAAACGGGAACCCTCTTGCACCGTTGGTGGGAATGCAAACTGGTGCAGCCACTCTGGAAAACAGTGTGGAGGTTCCCCGAAAAATTAAAAATAGAACTATCCTATGACCCAGCAACAGCACTACTAGGAATTTCCCCAAGGGATACCGGAGTGGTGATACCTAGGGGCATGTGTACCCCAATGTTTATAGCAGTGCTTTCAACAATAGCCAAATTATGGAAACAGCCTAAATGCCCATTAACTGATGAATGGATAAAGAAGATGTGGTTTATATCTACAATGGGATACTACTTGGCAATAAGAAAGAATGAAATCATGCTATTTGCAGGATCGTGGATGGAGCTGGAAGGTATTATGCTGAGTGAACTAAGTCAGTCAGAGAAGGACAGATATCATATGTTTTCACTCATATGTGGATCTTGAGGAACTTACCAGAAGACCACGGGGGAAGGGAAGGGGAAAAAATAGTTACAAACAGAGAGGGAAGGAGGCAAGCCACAAGAAACTCTTAAACACAGAGAACAAACTGAGGGTGGATGGCGGGGGTGGGGGAGAAGGGAGATGGGCATTGAGGAGGGCACTTGTTGGGATGAGCACTGGTAATTGTATGCAAGCCAATTTAACAATAAATTATATTCATAAAATAGGAAAATAAAAAAAACTAGTGTTCCCTATCATCAAAATCAATTGCATATTTCTGTTAATGGTGATCTATAATATTTTATGCATTTAATTTTTAAAATGGCTTTTCATGCAGCGTTGCCAAATGCTGATATTAATCCATGAACCTATAGCTTCAAGCATATTCTTCCCTTGGAAGGCTTTAATGAGCTATTTTAAGTTTTTCTCTTGATACTTGCCTTTCATCATGTCATTACATCGCAAATCAATCACTTCACTGGAATTGAGGTACAAACCCCTCGACTTTACAGTTAAATGGGTTTGAAATATGTAAATTTCCTTTGCGGCACTTACGCAGAGGTCCAGAAACTGCTTCTGGAGTGATAGCAGAAAGCTCAGAAAATATATTCACTGCAAATTTGTGTGGGCATGCATATCTTGCTTAGTTTAACTTTGAACAGCACAAGAACTGTATAAAGCAGCTTGACATAACTTCTGATGCAAAAAACATTAGCTATCGTCCAAATGATTTGACTATAGCATAGACAGCAATAGAAAACTAATACAGGAATGAGAAAGAATAGAGAGGATACTGTTATAAGGTCCTTGCACTTCCTGAAAAGCAAATAGTATTATTTGAAAGAAGACGGCAATTAATGAAAGATATATACTGTAAACCCTAGGGAAATCAGGAAAAACAGTTACATAACTATCAATAAGACAACAGCAAAGATAAAATAGAATCATAAAAAATACTCCATTAATTTAAAAGAAAGCAGGAACAGAGAAAAAGAGAAACGACATGGTACAAATAGAAGGCAATTGGCATGATAGATTTTAATCCAACAATATCAACACTTACACTAAAGGTGAATGTTCTATTAAATGAATTAATGCTTCTTTTTTTTTTTAAGTAGGTTCCACACCCAGCGTGGAGCCCAACATGGCACTCGAACTCACAACCCTGAGATCAAGACCTGAGCTGAGATCGAGAGTTGGGACATTCAACCATCTGAGCCACCCAGGCGCCTCGAATGAAAGCTTCTATTACGTGAATTAAGACAGTCAAAGTGGGTTTTTTTTTAAAAAACAC